GGCATAAAAACAAATTTAAAATCCCCTAAAAACACTTACCGCATTTGATTTTGGGAGGATGACACGTGAAGTGGTTGTTCGTTGGTAAGGGTAGTAGCACATATGGGTGTACACTCATATGTGGGTATGTAGATTTGAACACGTGTCTCTATGTGCGTACCTGGTTACTTTTTTGCGAGCTTCTACATACATGGTTGGACCTAAACCTGTTTTGGCGATGTTCACCTTACCCATGTTTCCAAACTAACACATCTTATATCATACTCCATAACTTTTACTCTATTTGCCTCTTAATTCTCTAAATTTATTTGTTGTATTCACCTATTGTGTCTGATAATATTATTGTGATTTCTAATTATTATTTTTACTAGGGACTACTTCATGGTACCTACCACCAGTCAACCCACTGCATAAGAAAATTTACATAGTTCCAAAAATTAAGAAATATGTAGGTAGGTCAGGCTACTAAAGCTATTACTACCTCGCCTTTTTCTTCCCACCCACTTCTCCTCCCACCCCGTACATCCCACTCGTCAAAGAGCCTTCCGATCATTCTATATCTCCCTCTTGTATTCCATTCAACTCAATGTCTCCACTGACCATTAGATTTCGGCCTAACAAGTACTTAAGTATTACTATATTAATACCGACCTCTATTTGGAATTAAGATCTCTTTCATTAAATGAATTTGAATCAACCTGATTTGTCCTGCCCAAAAAAAACCCAATAACAACAAAGGTTATCGGTCAATGTTAAATACAACCTAATACTAAAACTCCAAACGTATAGAGTAAATTCTTGGCTGAGTGAAACGACTACTACTAACCACTAATCCCTTAGTCCTTTACCCATCCCTTCCTTCTCACCTTCCCTCCCCATTACCAATTTAATGTATCCGTCCGGTGTACTTTCTCCATTTGCGGAGGAGATTTCGTTCTGATGAGTGTTTACGAAATAAAATATATAAATGAAATAGATGATTAATGTCTCCGTCATTTTATTATCATTATAATGCTCTGTAGTCTACATTGAGGTCTACCTGGATATTTATCCTCCTCAGAATTATCCCTTCCAGTCACAAGTTGTTTTTGTTTATTTATTTTATGTATTTTAATTTCTTCTTTTTTGTTTTCAGTTGCAGAACAATGTAATATACCAAAACATTGTAAAATCAGCAGATAAGGAAGAAAAATATACATAGAAGTAAATGAAGGACCCTGGAAACAAAGAAACTACACGTACAAAACATCCTTTAAAAATATTAAATACACGAATAGCACAATGCTTTCTAAACATATCTGGGAGATTAAAAACAAAAAAACAAATCATACCAAATAAAGAAAAGAACATAAGCCTACAAGAATCAATCCAAAAAACTGTAATCTCTGCTCTGAGGAAAAAATAACAATAATTACCTTCCCAGAATAAAGCAAACTAGTAAATAAATGATCGAAACTCATCTCAAAAGGTAGACAGGTAAACAAATTTTTACTACACTACTTAAAATTAAAACATGAAAATTGTTTAGCATGAATCAGACACTCGCATCTTTTATATTTACATATGCTCTATTCTTGATATTGAGCACTTTAACCCATAAATATAGCATATCTTAAAACTATATTTTATCATATATATATATATATATATATATATATGAATATATATAAATATCAAGGAATACTAACCACTCATGCTACCATGGTTTCCACCATTAAGGTTTCAGGCAATGGAGATTAATAAGTGGTTTCTGAAAGCTTTGTTTATTTTTTAAACATTCTCAACGGAGATTACGATTGAAGAAAAGGGAGAGAGAAAATTAATATTAATAAAATTTATATTAGAAAAAAATTATATCAAAAAATATATTTAAAAATTACATTTAAAAAAAAAGAATATTAAATATTAGAATGAGGGAAAATTAATATTAATAATAATTAATGATTTTTAAACGAAGAGTGGCAATGTTAGAGAGAATGAAAACGAAGGTGGAGAAAAATATTACTAATAATAGTATAATAATAATAATAATGGAGGGGGAGGGGCAAATCAATATTGGAGGAAATGTAAGTTAACAATGGTTTGGGGAATGTAAGGGGGGGAAAAATGGAAAATAAAATAAAAATAAAATAAATATTAGAAAGAAAGAAAATTAATAATAATTATTTTTAATATTAATAATAATTAATATTTTTTGAACGAAGGAGAGAGTCAATATTAGAGAGAATGTAATCGAGGGGGGGAATATTAATAATAATATTATAATAATTGAGAGGAGAGTAAAATCAATATTGGTTGAAACGGAATTTAAATTATTTTAACATTTTCTCTCCTCCTCCCTTACTTTCCAACTACTCTTGCTTTACTCCAACCCTTCGACCGTAATCCCTGTTGAGAATCACCATTAATCGCCATTGCCTAAAGAAACCTTACCGGTGGAAACCATTGTGGCATGAGTGGTTAGTATTCCTTGATATTTAATAGCCATACACATTTGGTTTTTCTTTTTTACAATGTATAGCGAAGGTACGGTGGAGCAATGGATAGCATCTCGGATTGAGGAATCGGGGAGCCGAGTTCGAATTCCAATCGAATCCTTTGCCTGCACTTGCGGGCTAATACCTTGCGAAAGGTATGAATCCTCTTGTTCAGCTATGGGGATTGACCAATTGACCAACCGCAGAATGAAATGGCAAGCTAATGCGGGGGGAAATATCAAAGATACATAATCGCCTAAGCGTGTATCACGCATGGCTGACTTTTATATAACCGGAAAAAATCTGTTATATATATATATATATATATATATATATATAAAATTAGGAATAAAGGTATAGAATATACAAGTCATACACACGCAGAATTTTGCTCAATGTACACAAGTAGAGAGCAATTATATGTAATTGTAAGACATTTGCCCAGTGTCTTACAGATGAATCGATTTTCACCGCCAAATTATAAGAAAACTCAGCAAATATTCTGATATTTGCTTACAGGAATGTAAACTTGGACTTCCGTTTGATAAGCCGGCTGAACCGGAAGTCCTTCAAGATAATAGGCTGAAAATTATAGTGAAACATGGAAGTTGGAAGAACGAGGACACTATTGGTGCTTTGAGAAAAATTTAATGAAGAAAATTCCCCAAAGAAATCAGCAATTTACAAATGAATAATTCGTTTCAAAGAAGTCCGGAAGATGGTGGACGGATCGACAGACCATCAACATCAATTTGTGAGGAAAAATCGATGCTGTTTGGAATTTAATTGAGTTTGATCGACGATTAACAGCAGAATAATAACTTTACTCACTACACATCGCAATTGATTAACAATTTTATCTGAACAATTAAAGTTGATCAAACTTTTTACTCGTCAGTTATCAAAACAGTTGCGCCCAGGTTAAGAACAGATAACAGCAGAGCCTTCTATGAGATCAAAATCCTAAAGGCTTTCTGAAGCGAATTTTAACTGGATATAAAACATGGTTTTACTATTAGGATCCTGAAGACAAAACTCAGTCAATGTCTAACTAAAACTGGAAAGGACACAATCAAAATAAAAGCAAGCTTGTCTGAAGGAATGTTATAGCGACAGTTCTTTGGTGGGAGACATGTTTTAGATTTTAGTTTTTCGGTACCCAATGAGGATCGAAATCATTAAACTAAATAAGCTGGTATTAAAGAAGTGCTTGATTAATACCGTGCTACAGTAGGCGTATTTATATAGTTTGGCGCAAGATCAGAGTCGTGTGGCAGCTATTTTTTGTTATGTGGGTTTAATATTTTAAGGCATATTTGTCATCTTTAAAATAAAAAATGTTTAATATTTTTCATTTTCTTAGTTGATTTTTTGATTTACCTGTTATGAAAGTTTTTGAGAAAATAGACTAAAAACTTAGCAAGAAATCGACATGAAAAACTTCATGAAAGAACCTTTTTCCACCATGACAATGTCTCTTCTCATTCTCTTCTTAAAATAAAATGAATATTTCGAGAATTTCGATGGATTATCATCAGACATCGAACTTATAATCTTAGTTTTGGTTCTGACTTTTCTTATTTTATAATGGAAATATAAACATTTTGAGACCATCAATAGCTTGAATAGATTACTTTGATAAAGAAATGTTAGGATCATATGTCGGGAATGATACACTGCTGGTATCATTGCTTATAGATATGCCTTCTTGTTGAAGCTTGAGTGAAGAAATCAAACTGATACAACAAAATCCAAAGAATGATCTGCAATGTAATTGATCCTGACCTGAAATCTCGACTTCAGTCACTTTCTCACCAACCTGACGTGGCTTCCCTCTGTCTTTTTTTACAGATATTTTCATGGCAACTGCTCTGACGAGTTTTTTTTCCCGGGTTCATCGTCTACATCAATTTTAGCGCGCTACTAGATTGCTATCTTTTACTGATGAAATACCTAATTGCCACCGCCAGTTCTACTCCAACAGTTTCTTTATCTGCACCCCCCATGGAACTCCCTTCCGTATTCTTGATTCCGTGATCACTACAATCTTCAAAAATTTAAATGCAATATCAATCGCCATCTTCTGTCTTCTTGAATCCCGTTCATCTTTTGTCCTCTCTCCAATCTCCTCTCTAATCGGTCTTCTCTTTCACTTTCACTCCCTGTAACCCCCTGTGTGTAACCCTCTTATCTGGCCTACTTGATCCTTTATTGTGATCAAACAGTAAGCCTTCAGATTCATTGTCCACAATTTAAACCTCTGGCCATTAGATTTAATGACTGTTGGCATAATTTAGAAATATTTGCGTGCATACTTTTATAATTTAATTGTGTATGTGCCCGTGTGTATAAGTCCGTATGCGTGATTTGATTGCCTTAAGTCAAGCGGTGGAATGTACACATGTGTATATCACATGTATATGTCTAACTACAACAATCTCCTCAGTTGAACGTATTTTGAGGCCGTGCTTGTGTCTTCACATTAGCGACAACAGCTGAGATTTGTTCTTCCTCCTTTGCCAGTTCTATGTCCACTCCTCTTCACAAAGATCTTCTTCCCCTTTATTCTCTCACTCGCCACCCTCCTTCTAATACTTTTTCGCCTCAACGCTATTTGCATCCCAAGAGTCGTAACCTATTTACATTAGATATTTCCAACCCTTATCTCTACCTTTCTAATTTATAAAATATCCCTGTTGGAATTTCTGGGAAGGGGTGTTATCGTTTTTACACTATCTTCCTTGTTATTATCACAAGGTTTTAGCCATTGTGGTCTTCGGTATTCATCAAATGTCTGTCTATAAAGGTAACCTTCAGGCAATTTCAAACAGTACCCTTTCTTTAATCTACAGGGTATTCCGCTGTTCATGCCTACGGATATCTCGTCTTGTTAATATTTAGTACTACTCAGTTATTCAGTATCTGTCGTTATTTCTGAGATGAGGTATTATGTACACTATTTACATTATTCGGACTATTGTCCTCATCTTTGTCGCCATATTTATTATAAAGTTTCGGCCGTTGTACGCTCTGACCTTCTTCAGGTGGTTGGAATGTCGAACTGAACCCTTTATTTCGCTCACTGGATTAGACTGTTCTAGTTCCACGTGCCATGTCTAATAGACGTCAGTTATCTCCTGTTAATTCCCTCGAGGACACATGGCACAGTGGTTAAAGGCGTTAGTTAGATCCAGTGACAGGACCCAAAGAGTGTAAGTTAAATATCTGGTTAAGGCAGTAGAGAAGTTTCAGAGGGGAATTAACAGGAGATAACTGACATCCATTAGACATGGCATGTGGAACTAGAACAGTCTACCCCAGTGAGCGAAATAAAGGGTTCAGTTCGACATTCCTACCACCTGAAGAAGGCCGTAGCGTACAACGGTCGAAACGTTGTAATAAATATGGCGACAAAGATGAGGACAATAGTCCGAATAATGTAAATAGTTTAATTAGTTAGTGTTCTTTCTGTTTCCACTGAATATAAGTCTGTAGTATCCACCAGTGTTCGTTTGTGAATTTAATGGCATAGGAATTGTGAGTTCGATCCCTGGGTCGGGTAGTAGGGAATTAGGCGAGTAATAACTGAGCAGGAGGAGATAAAAACAAGACGAGATTGTGGCTTCGAAATTTCCTGAAGGTTATCCATGTCGACAGTTCCTGAAGAAGGCTTGAGAGTAAAACGATTGAAACGTTGCGAGAGCAACAACAAAGATGTGAACATTTGTCCGAATGTAAATAATGTAAATACATTTAACTCAAATGTTTCAGATTTTAGTTTTTCGGTACCCAATGAGGATTGAATTCATTAAGCTAAATGAACTGGTATTAAAGAAGTGCTTGATTAATAGCGTGCTACAGTAGGCGCATTTATATAGTTTGGCGCAAGATCAGAGTCGTATGGTGCCCAATGAGGATTTTGATCTAAGTGACAGACAAAATGGCAGCTATTTTTTTTTTCTCAGGTGTGTTTAACTTTTTAAGGCATACGTGTCATCTTTTAAAAAGAAAAATGTTTAATATTTTTCTTTTGCCGCGCCGGAAGACTTCTATTTCTGATTTCTGTTTTAGAATTAATATTTTAATTCCTTTCTTTTATTTCTAGCCTCCTTTGCTAATTTGAAATTTCTCTTTCTTTCGTTTTGTATTATTCTTTCTAGCTGTCGGTAGGCGCCCTTCTCCTTATGTCCACCATTTTAGTCTTGAGAATTGCACTTGTCGTCTTTACAATGATAATTGTTTCATTCAATATTGTCTTTGGGAGAAGGGGTGGGCTAACTATTTTCTTGTCGTAATGCATTAAGTTTTGTACCTTCTTCTTCTTCTTCTTCTTCTTCTTCTTCTTTTCATCATCATCATCATCATCATCATCATCATCATCATCATTTTTCAAATTTTCTTTCTTTCACTTTTCTCTTTCCAATGCTATGCTTTTTCTCTCTTTCTCCTTTTTCCATCATTTATTTCATTTTTACACCATTCGTTTATCTTTAAAAATATTAATTTCTGTTACCCTCTCCACCACTCATTGTTTCCTTCCTTCCTTTCTTCCTTTCACTCATCTCCCCTTCTCTATAACACTCTCTTCTCTCTACTTTTCTTCTTTCCTTTCTCCCCAACTTCTTTCTCAATTGGACGCCATTAATATTCATTCGAATTTTGCGCAATTGCAATTTACTAACATCATTATGGCGTCGATGTTTTTGCTTTAGATGTGTCTTGCTTTCTTGCTGTGTAAATAGGAATGGACGTGGGAATAGGTATGAAGTTATGTGCACGTGTGAATGTTGCATAGATTTGAGCAGACATTGTGTATAAAAACAGATTTAGTATTGACATCATTTTTTTTGTGTGTCGATGAAACAACGTATCTCTTCATACACACACATTCACTCTCACTCTCTCTCTCCTTCTCCTTCTCTCTCTCTCTCTCCCTCTCTCGGGTATGCTGAAATATTTTGTTCGATTAAGAAGATTATCAAACAAAAAAAAATGTTGATATGTTCATTTGGTCAGATTTTATTTTACATCCCCTTTTTTGGTCGAGTCGATAACCTTTCAGCACCCTTTTATTACAGATGTTAATCTAAAATCATTTTGCAATCATTTTTCTATGTAAATAATGTGTGATTATGAGATTTATCTATCTTTTTCGTTATTCAAACATCAAAAAATATTTCTATGTGCTGACTACTCTCAAAACTGAAGCATAAATATCTATGCTTCAGAGAAGCTTATTTACACTCGCCAGACTATTAAAAAAGTTAATTTCTTTAATAATATCTATCAATGTAAAAAAGAGACAAGGGATCTGATTAGTGGCTAAAATAGTTGCGTATTTTTCCTCTGTCTAAGCATCCAAACCGTCTTGACTTTGTTGCATGGACGATAAATGCAGTACAAAATTCCTGCCGTCCTGGGTATGACGATAAACTACATCCACGTCCAGGGTATGACGATAAACTACATCCGCGTCCAGGGTATGACGATAAACTACGTTCAACAGCAAGGACTCTGATCAGGAGGTTTTGAGAAGCGTGGAACCACCTCTTAATTGCTGGTGTCCCCAGGTTCACCTTGACCCGGGGTGGTAGCACCTGTTAGGGTGCCAGCTATGGGAAAATAGTTAACCACGAAACTGAGGTAAAAAGCATTATGAAAATGTAAAAATAGGTTTTAATACCAGAAATACTTTGTAAAAAATTATTACCAGAAATAAATTTTTGAAAAAAAAAAACGTTTTTGAAGAAAAAATATTACTAGCAATACATTTTTTAAAATAATATTACCAGCTATATATTTTTGAGGAAAAAATATTACCAGAAATAGATTTTTGACAAAACAAAAATATTACCAGGAAAAAAAAGTTGTGGTTATTAAATGACCCATTGAAGTCGATATGCCGTAAACCAAACCAAACAAAATTCCTACGCCTGATTAAACTTAGTAAAATAAGATTAGTAAATATAAATTATAAAAGATTTTTTTTAAAGGATTTCCCCCCAAGCAAGACTGGAGTGCCACTAGCACGAAAGGGGGTTACAGAGAGTGAGATCAAGAATAAAGAGGGGGTGTTTGAGGAAAGGACATAGAGAACGGCGGGTATCAAGAGCAAGGCATCAGAAGATGTCGATTGACATTACATTTGAATATTTGAAGATTATAGCCATTAGGGAAGCAAGTAGGAGGAAGGGAGTTCCACTGTCGGGAAGTGCGAGAGAAGAAGCTGCTGGAGTAGAAGAGACGGTTACATTTAACTGTTTCGTCAGCGAAAGGGTGCCAAACTAGTAACACGCTTAAATTCATGCAGTTGGGGTATCAGTGAAAATTCAGAGGGAAACCACATCATATCTGTGAGAAAGTGACTGTAGACGAGATGCCAGATCAGGAACTAAAATATTGCATATCCGTCTCTAGCAGAGAAATTTACTAAGCAATGACGAGACTATCAAAATTGACTATTCACCTGTATTTGTAACTTTAGTAATAAATAACTTTTGGTGTTAAAACATTAATAACTAATATATAAAGCAGAAGATAAATGACTGAAATAATAATCAAATGACATGCCATATGTTCAGAAACTAAGAGACATGCACAAGACTCAAATTTATTTCTCTTGAACCAGTTGTTCCCAACCTATTTTTCGCCATGCCCCACTTTGATATTTCTAAAATTCTGGTCACCCAACCCTGTAATATTTAATTCTTACATATTCAAAATTTTACTGCAATTCATGTGAAGGAATCTTAAAAGGCCATTAACTTGGTCTCTAAACAAGCCTCTAAAAACGATGGCGTCCACGAAAGAGAAAAATTAAAAAAACAAAAAGAGATTTAAATATATATAGTTTCATTATTATTATTAGTTTGTGAAGTCATATGCCGTAGAGATGCTCGGTGGAAGTGTCATTACCATGAGGAGCATTACACATTCAGCTCCCTTCAGGTGAGTTTCAATTACTTTCCAGTAATTTCTTTCTTTTTTTTATATATAGTTTCAAAACATATAATAGAGAATTGAAAGGTAGAAATATAAAATATTTTCATGAAAGTTTATTCTGTAATATACTTTAATCATTTTAATCATGAAATAATAATGCAATTTGAGCTCACTAGAAAACAATTCACTTTTAATAACTCATTCCCGAATTGCCTCTTATTCTGTTGGTATCGTAAGCCAAACGGTGTACATCCTACGCATGTCCCACAAAAATATTAACATGCCACTATCCTTTAGCACTTTATTATATAAATTATACTTATTCTCTTTTCGATAGATAAAGGTATATGTTTAATTATAGATGGAGGATGATTTGATTTAGGGTGTATATACAAAGGGTTAGTATTGTTTTTTTTTATAAGGTGTGTAAATATTTTCCGTAAAAATAAAAAACAACAACAAAAAGACAGTTAAATATATATAATTTCAAAACATATAACAGAGAATTGAAAGGCAAAAATATAAAATATTTGAATGAAAGTTTATTCTGTAATATACTTTGATCATTTTAATCATGAAATAATAATGCAAAATGAAATTTCAGTCCACGTTGGTATAGTAAGCCGATGGGTGCACATCCTACGCATGCCACACCAAAATATTACCACGCCCACTGGTGGGGCATGCACCCCACTTTGGGAATTATTGTCTTAGACGTTAAATGCCTGAGACGACTTCACGGTTACTTGCGCGAACTCCATAAAACCCTTTATACTGACTTTAGTTTTGGAGTCTGGACATTAAAGTTGTATATGCTTACGGCCATATCACTTTGAAACTACCGATTCTCGTACGAAAACCGAAGTTAAGCAACGTCGATCCTGGATGGGTGACTGCTTAGGAATACCAGGTGCTGTAAGCTTAAATTTGCGGATGATCTAATCGGTAATGTTCCGGAATTGTTAATCGGAGACCCGAATTCCAATTCCATTTGGGGTTTGTTATATTAACTCATACGTAAATATCAATGAGAATAGAATGAGTTCACCTCTTCCCGACCAGGTACGTGTTAATTAGTATGACTTATATCACTAAATCATTATTAACTCCCGAAAACATTCTTACAATCTAAAAATATTTTCTGGCTTTAAATAACCTGCAAGGGGTTGATAAGCCGTAAAAACGAGTCAATCAACGGTAGCTTTATAGTTAAGTCTTTTTCTCATTGGGTAATTGGAAAAGGTCTACTGACATATGCATAGGCAGAAATATGGAAAAAATAGATAAACATGTACGAATAAAAACAGATATGAATAGATAAAATGCAGACAGATGAGAGAAATAAAGAAGCTAAGCAAAGGAACAAACGCGAACAGGCCAATGAAAAAATATATATAGATATATAAAAAAAAGGGAAAGATGTGAATTGGTAGACAGATGTTAATGAAAATATGCGACATAACAGATGAAAATAACAGATGCAAATATACATATAAAAATGCATGAAGACGCAAACGCAAACTGAAAAACAAACAATTAAGAGAGACGTAAAACATAAAAAATACCCAGATAATAAATAACTAGCTAACTAGATTGACCAATTAAATGTTTTCTTTTGAAGTTTTCTTTTTTTTTTACTATGTAGGGAAGAACACTTATATATTTGACCATGTTTAAGAATGGATTTTTTATTTATTAATCCCACATAGGTTATTATACAAACAGATGTAAACAGATGTGAACAGACTGATGGAAATAAACAGACTGATCAGAAGCAGATATGAACAGGCAAATACAATATGATATTGACAGCTTGACAGACAAAAGTAAACAGATACAAATAGAGACAGACAGATGTGAAAAGATGTTAACATGTGTGATAAGCTAAATGTAAACAGATTCGAACAGATTTAAAAAAAAAAAAGGATCGACAGACAGGGACACATGTGGGGAAACATGTCAAGTAAATAAGATACATATGTAAACAGATGCAAATATAGACGTGTGTGAACAAACAGATATGAATAGATGTGAATCGACAGACAGATGAAAATTGACACGTGACCCTGCAGATATGAACATACTCCGTGGAATGAACAGACATTTATTTAACGTCTAAGAGAAATAAATTTGAGTCTTGTGCATATTCCTTAGTTTCTGAACAGAGAGACGTAAACAGAAAGACAGATGGAAACCGAGAGACGTCATTAGACAAATAGATTCCCATAGATGTATGAATATATCCAAATATGATCATGCAGATCCGAACAGATGTGAAGATGTGCAGACGTAAAAAAAAAAAGTGAATAGACAGACCTGATAGAAACGGATAGAAACAGACATATTCTAACAACAGACAAATAAATTCTTTCTTAAAATGCGCAACTGATACGTGCCTCGGGACACGCATCAGTTGTGAGTCAAAATGTTTGCGCCGAAATCGAGAGAAATGCCGAAACAGCGACACCAGATTTCTGTTGCGAGAACAAAGAAAAATCACCTGATCGCTATTGTCTCCATTTGTTTTCATGCGTGACGCATTCCGTTCTCTCTCTCTCTCTTTATTCTGTCATTCTGATAATCAGGTTAGAGAAGAACTGGCTTAATTGGTGGCACACAACGTGAGGCAAACGCTAATTATATAGCATCGCCTTCCTAGGCGTCTGCCGCAAGCTACTCTCGCAGTCCGTTGACAATAATTTC